GAGCCTCCTCCTCGTCCCACAGCTCCAGGAGGGCTTTTAGCTCAGGGCTGGACCAGGAGGGGGCCCGGCGCTTGGGGTCCCTGGAAGGGCCGGGGGGGTCTTGGGGGGCCTGTCCCTGGGACATGGCTCCGAGTGGCCCTACCGGGAAGAGCTGCGCAGTCAGGGTCCTGGCTGGGGCTGGCTTGCTGCCCTGCCGCTCCTCCTGGGTGCCTGTGCCTTTTAAACACGGCTACAGGCAGGGACAATAAAAGGGGAAAGAGCGCCTGGAGCCTTTATTGTCCACAGAATCTTCCCCGCGTCCACACTTACCGTTTGTCACTAGATCTCTGTGGACAGAGGCGTTATTCTCGTAAAACGAGCTTTACCGCCGTCGCCAGAACTGCCCCGCTCTGCCGCCATTGTCCACACAACGCGGCGGTAGCGCAGACGCAGGGAGAGTTGTCGACGGAAGTCCTCTACTGTCTACAAAACCCCGCAGCCTAGACACACCCTGACCGTCCATTTATCCAACCCAGACTCCCTTCACTTGCTGGCAAGAATATTGTGGGAGACCGGATCAAAAGCCTTGCTACAGTCAAGGTCTATCACATCCACCGACTTCCCCACGTCCACAGAGCCAGTTACCTCAGCACAGAAGCTAATCAGATTGGTCAAGCACGACTTGCCCTTGGTGAATCCATGCCGACTATTCCTGATCACTTCCCCTCTTCCAAGTGCTTCACAATGGATTCCTTGAGGATCCCTCCAGGATTTTTCCGGGGATTGAGGTAAGACTGACCGGTCTGTAGTTCCCTGGATCGTCCTTCTCCCCTTGTTTAAGATGGGCACTGCATTTGCCTTTTTCCAGTCATCCGGGATCTCTCCCGATCTCCACGACTTTCCAAAGCTAATGGCCAAGGCTCCTCAATGACATTTGCCGACTCCCTCAGTCCCCTCGGGTGCACTAAGTCCGGACCCATGGATTTGTGTACGTCTAACTTTTCTAAATAGTCCCTAACCTGTTCTTTCCCCACCGAGGGCTGCCCCCTCCTTCCCCTACTGCGCTGTCTAGTGCAGTAGTCCGGGAGCCGACCTTGTCGGTGAAGACAGAGGCAAAGAAAGAATTAGGTACGTCAGCTTTCCCCACCTCCTGTCACTAGGTTACCGCCCTCCTCCAGTAAGGGCCCCACGCCCGCTCTGGTCACCTTCTCGCTAACATGCCTGTAAAACCTTCCTTGTTCCCCTCCACATCCCTTGCAGCTGCGATTCCAGCTGCGCTTTCGCTTTCCTGATAACCCCCGGCATTCTCCAGCAATAGATTCCCACTCCTCCTCCTCCCTCCTCATCTGGCCAAGTTTCCACTTCTTGTCAGTTTCCTTCTGTGTTTAAGTTCACCCAGGATTTCCCCGGTGAGCCAGTCCGGTCTCCTGCCGTCTGCCTCTCTTGCTGCGCGTCGGGATGGTTTCTTCCTGGGCCTTCAATAAGGCTTCTTTAAAACCCGGCCGGCTCTCCTGGGCTCCTTCCCCCTGGCAGCACACTGTCCCACCTGCACATGCTGTGACCTGCCTCAGTGCCCCCTGCCAGCGACTACCCTCCCCCGTTTCCTGGCGCCGTGAGCTTCCTCAGCACAGTGGCCTCGCTCCTCAGGAGGAATCTGGTTTCCTTGCTCGGCCTCACTCCACACAGCTCCCTAGCTGGCCAGACCCAAAGCGGATTCATTACGTTTACATGGCGCCAATCCGGATTAACCAGGGTCCTGTTATAGAGAGGGTAGGGCTCCTGCTTCACAGACCCCTCCCCTCCAGAGTCACCACCTAGTGATGGGGGAAACTGAGGCATCAAGGGGTCGGCACAGTAAGGGGTCCTGGCGTGCACCCCCTTTGCTCTAACCCCTAGTCCCCATTCCCCCAAGCTGGGGAGGGAACCCAGGCGTCCGGGCTGTGCAGACAGGCACCGTTTCATACCGAAATTGTCTTTATTGAAATTAGAGGGTCTCCGTGGCGGTGGCTGGGCGGGGTTAGTGTCGCCAGCCCCCGGGCGCGGCCTTGCAAACCAGCAGGCTTATTGCACTGTCAGTTATTGGGGTGAATCCGGTCTAGTGCTGGGGGACCCCACTTCCCAGCTCCCCTCCTTCCTGTGGGTGGGGGGCAGGGGCTGCACCCCACTTGTTCCCAAATCCCCTGCCCTTTCCTAGTGGGGCCCGTGTCAGAGCGGGGAGGGGAGCCCCAGAGGGGCTGCTCTCTGAGAAGGGCAAACCCCATTTTGTGCCCAGTAAGGGGGGGCTACACCCCCTCAGTCCCAGAGTGGGGGGTGGAAGGAGGGAGTTTGGGGGGCTCCCTCCAGCCTGTTTCCTGGTTGTCCCGTTTCCAGTGCTCAAGAGGGGAGCCCCAGAGGGGCTGCTCTCTGAGAAGGGCAAACCCCATTTTGTGCCCAGTAAGGGGGGGCTACACCCCCTCAGTCCCAGAGTGGGGGGTGGAAGGAGGGAGTTTGGGGGGCTCCCTCCAGCCTGTTTCCTGGTTGTCCCGTTTCCAGTGCTCAAGGGGGGAGTGGATTGCATAGTGCACAGGGGCATTGTGGGGGGGAGAATGTGGGGTCCCCGGGGCAGATTGAGGAGCATTGGGTGGGGGACACCCCCAAACAATGGGGGAGCTGGGGCAGAAGTGTCTCCCGCCGGGCACTCCCCCTGGGATGCAGC